CACTGGTAAAATCGGAGTGTCCTGATTCAGGTGGGAGTGAGCTTAGGACTTGTTTGTCTGCAACCTTTCCCAGCCGCCCCTTGCTTGTCTCACACTCGTTGCTTGGATCTCCCAGCCTCCTGTCTTAGGAGTGGGCTATAAGGAGACACATGGAAGAGCCCTGCTCTAATCTCTCTACCTCAGATTCCCTTCCACAGAATGCAGTGGTTTCTGGGAGGGGCCATCAGCTGGCTTCATCTTTTCATTCTGGCATAGGACATATAATATTATTATATACCCTCCTTTAAAAGGAAAACAACTTCCTTATCCAGGCCTCTTACCAAAGCTGAAAATTGTGGGAATGGTATCTCAGATAAAGTGGGCAGGTTCTAGGGAGGTTTTTCACAAAAGTACTTTTCCCTTTTTTTTATTTGAATAGCATGATTGGAATTCCTTTGTAGCCTTCATCCCTTGTGCCCCGAAAGAGGGTGACGCAGTGGGTTATAGACTGACAGACACAGCAGTGCCAGTGCTCTCTGCTGCCCCTTCATACGTCCTACCTCTTTGCTATTGAAGTGAGAGAATATACCTGGAAGTGAGGGAATACACCCCTTGGGTGAGGAAAGTGGAGTTGAGATGACCGGTGTGACCAGGCAGCACAGGGAGGGGCAGCAAGCCAGTCCATGAGTTCCATACACTACAACTATTTTTCTTTTTCTACAGTTGTTTAAATACACATGTACTTCAAGAATCTTCATTCTCATTGGAAAACTTTATGTCTAACACTGTTTTTGATTCATATTATTTTTAGAAGTTGACTATATTTAATAAGAAATAATTTAAAATATTGGATTATCTGATGGGAAAAAAGAAAGTCTTTAATAAATGGTAAACTTAGTGGACAAAAACCCACTTCATATACAAAATTCATGTACACTTCATATCTTATTCATGAGAAAAGTTAATCTGAGAAGGATCATAGACTTTCCTTTAGTAAAGCCAAAAGCATAAAGCTTCTGGAAGAACATATAAGAAACTATCTTTCCGACCTTAGAGTAGGCAAAAATTTCTTTTTCATCTTTTTTTTGTGTGTGAGACAGAGTCTCACTATATCACCCTCAGTAGAGTGTGGCATCAGAGCTCATGGCAACCTCCAACTCTGGAGCTTTAGCAGTTCTCTTGCCTCAGCCTCCTATGTAGCTGGGACTACAGGTGCCCACCACAATGCCCGGCTATTTTTTGGCAGCCAGGCTGGATTTGAACCCACCAGCTCTGGTGCATGTGGCTGGCGCCCTAGCCGCTGAACTACAGGCACCAAGGCTAGACAAAAATTTCTTAAGACACACAAAAAAGTCATCATAAAAGATGATAAATTGAATATTATGAAAATAAAAAATTTCTGCTCATCAGAAGACACCACTAAGAAAATGAATATGCAAGCCATGGATCAAAAAGAATTATGTTTGAAATGCATGTATCTGAGAAAAGATGTTATTCAGAATATACAAATGAGTAATGAAAAGACAACCCAATAAAAGTACAAAAGTTTAAATAGACATTTCACAAAAGAAACATTTGAGTGGATAATTAGCTCACACAAAAATGTCCACTGTAATTGTGAGAAATATTAATTAAAACCACAAAAGGACACCACTCTCCTGCTGACCTGAATAGCTAGAGAGTGACAGTTTGTAGCCAAACTAATTCGGCTAAAACACACAAAATCCACTGAAGGCTGGTGAGGATATGAAACAGCTGGAACTCTCCTATATTGATGGGGATTTTAAATGATATAAACATTTAGCTTAAAGCATATATATATATATATATATATAAAATATTAAACCTGTATCCATCTTATAACTTATCAATTCCACTCTTAGGTGGAAACAAGGAAACAATCATATATTTATACAAAAAGACATGTATAAGAATGTTGTTAGCAACTTAATTCATAACAGCCCCAAACTCATAATCAAGAAAAGGAAAAGCAAATTTGGGTATATTTCAATGAAGGAACGCTTAACATTAAACACAAACACATCACTAACACGCACAGCCTGGTGGGTAACGTCAATAGCATGTTAAGCAAAAGAAGCCAAATGCGGAGTAATGTACTTCATTTATATGAAGTTCAGGAACAGGCAGATCTGTGCATGTTTATAGGAGTTGGAGCCTCTGAGCTGGGGAGTAGAAATTGAATGGGACTTAGGGACCCTTCTGGGGCGATGGAAATGTGTATCTTAGATAGTCGTTGTATCAGCATATACAGTTGTCAAACTCATTAAGCTGAATAAAATCTGTGCATTTTATTGTATGTAAATCATACTTTAGTGAACAAAAAGTTAAGGATGGAATTCATCTTATCTGAAAAATAAAAGGTTACAGGAAGGCCTGATGGGAAATAGTCACGAAAATATTTCACAGAAAACTTCTTGATGCTCTTGCACCTGCCTAAAAAAGAAAAAAACAACTTCTTGAGGATTACAGTGCAAGAAAGTAATAATTTTATTATTAAAATTAATATTTTAATACATTAAAATTATGAAAAATGAGCACAAATAGAATAACTACTGCATCAACTTTTTTAGCCAGTATTTTATTTTTCTTGCTAATTTTTTTATCAAGGTGAAATTTTATATTATTAAATTCATAGATCTTGAGTAGACAATTCAATGAGGGGTGGGTATCCCTGTGTATCAAACACTTAAAAAACAGAGCATTTCCATTATTGTAGATCTAAAGTATTGATCAGATTCTTTCCCTGCTGTCTCTGTAAGATCACTGAGATAAGGGGCAAAATGTTATTGTCCTCCATAGCTGCCATAAAAACAGCAAAACCCCAACATGATCAGGGCCTAAAGTAGGGGTCCTCAAACTTTTTAAACACGGGGCCAGTTCACTGTCCCTCAGACTATTGGAAGGCCAGACTGCGGGCCCCGGGATGAGTTGGCTGCTAAGCAGGACAGGCAGCAGTGGCAAAAACACCCGGTGGGCCAGATAAATGTCAGTCTGCAGGCCGTCGTTTGAGGACGCCTGGCCTAAAGGATGGTGACTGTGGCAGCTGTTAAGAAGTTAGTTGATATATCTAGTAGTCTTGTAAGAATCCTAGGCCCTGGAAACTAGTATTTAGAGTTTTCTAATGTAAATTCCATGATTAGGACCAATAGTGCATAATAATTGCATCTTATGTGGGATATTCCAGTAACCTAGTTAAATCGTATAAGTTTGCGAAGAAATATCTCCCGTGGCTGCCCTTTTATTTCTGGCAGATCAAATCCCTATAATCCCTATAATGCCTGTTTTGAATATTTTAGCACAGGCTGGTACTTCATTATAATAATAGCAGATCTTTTATATCTCATATTTCATCCTACAAGAACCCTTAGTTAGCACTTTCTAGACTTGTTTATAATAAGTAAAAAATCAATACAATTGCAGGCACCTTTTCAGTAGAGGTGAGTGTACTTTAACCACTCACAACTTGTGAGGGATATTGAAGGAGAATGTCATATCTACTTGAAATTATGGAAAGAACATTGATTTTTTTTTTTTTTGTCAGAAAATCAATGCTCAAATTTTAGTTTTGCTATGTAAAAGGTTTGACCTCCTTACAAAAAGTACAACAGCATTTACACTGATCATAGAACCTTAGGACGTGGCATTTTTAAAAATTTAGTAGTCGTGCTGAATATCTCTTGAGTCAGTACATACTAGAAGCAGTTGTAAATTATTATACAAGTGGTTGTTACATCTATTTTTCTGCATTTTGTTTACATCTTTCTCTAGCCAAATCCTCTCTGTTTTCCTTCTCCTGTTTTTCTGACGGCCAGGTGGGTCCTGCTCACCTTGCTGAGTGGAGAGATGACTGACTTCCCACGTGGTAGCTCAGTCTTCTCCCAGACCTGTCTTCATAGTTCCTCCTGGCGTGGGAGACTCGTGAGTAGGCTAAGGCCTTCAAAGTTGGGAGATGGCAGAGGGGAAATTCTTAGATGGATTCTAGAATTGCCTTTAATCTTTAGAGATTAAGTGAGAAGACCTTGATTTAAAAAAAAAAAAAAAAAACCTCGAGGGAAAGAAGACTTAGGGAAGTAAGCTCATGCCTTTGTGTCTACCAGGAGGGCGGATATATACAAACGCAGTATTTACTGAAAAATGTTTAGTGAGATAATAGAGAAAGGTAGATTTTCAGTTTTCCTTCTGTGGGTAGTAGTTGTAGACAGACATTTTCCTTTCAGCCGACTTGAATGATGCCCCCAAAAGGAGAAAAGCCTCAGTATAAAAGTGAAGCCGAATGTAGATGCGTGTACTGCGCGCACACACACAGTTATTTTCTGAAAGCTACAGAATTATTTTCAAGGAGAAATGTATGATCTCCAGTTGTAGTGTATAGACATTTGGCAATTGGATAAAATAATGTTTTGGAGAAAATAGGAAAACAGATTGACATAAACGTACATTAGGGTAGCAACTTTCCTTTCTCGTACATATACAGTGAAATAGTTCTGGGCAATAAATTCTCGGGAAAGTAGAGTAGAGATTGGATAAATGTCATAGTTTATGACTGAATACATGTAAGCAGGTGAAAACTCTAGGTGGAGAGGTCATAGTAACCACCTGTTAAAGACACTTAAAACCCTTTCACCTTACAAAAAAGATTGTTTTACAGTTATAACTTTGATAGTATAGTTTGATTTTTTAAAAAAAGATATTGGGGCTTGGTGCCTGTAGCTCAAGCCGCTAAGGCACCAGCCAAATACATCAGAGCTGGCGGTTTCGAATGCAGCCCTGGCCTGCCAAACAACAATGACAACTACAACCAAAAAATAGCTGGGTGTTGTGGCAGGCGCCTGTAGTCCTAGCTACTTGGGAGGCTGAGGCAAGAGCATCGCTTAAGCCCAGGAGTTGGAGGCTGCTGTGAGCTGTGATGCCACAGCACCCTACCAAGGGCAACGTAGTAAGACTGTCTCAAGAAACAAACAAACAAAATCAATACATCAATAAAGATATTGGTTACATTTGTGGCTACTATGGATACATAAAATAAGGAACGCTTTTTGGTCCCCAATAAAAAGAAATATTTAACATATAAAATCTTAACTATAAAAAATATTTTTGATGTTATAGGTTCTGGGACTTATACCAAGATTATTGAAAAAGGTGACGCAGCCACTATTCCTGCCACTATTTCAAGTCAACTACCAAGCTACAGTTTAGTTGTACAGTGCCCTGGCAGCACTGAGCCTCAGACCTCTCCATCCCCCACCCCCATCCTGTGCTGTCTCCTCACTCGGCATTCCAGGGTGCCAGGCTGTCTATTCTCCATGACAGATTATTGCAGCCCACTTTGGTCTCCCTTCTCCTAATTTCTGTAGCGCAGTGCTAAGGCTTCTTTGCTGTGTGACTTTTGGTAGATACTGCTTGAGGTCAGGATAACTTGTTACATTAAAGAAAGACTAAGTCTTAGGGAAGATAAGAAAGAGAACATTGCCAGCTGAAATCACAAAACAATCTGAGACCCCCAAGTGGGGGTCAGTAGCCTACTGACTGAAATTGTGAGTGCTGGTGAATACTGGGTGAATGCGCTGATCAGCAGGTTAAGTATATCTTGAGTAGAGTGTGTGGCGAGCTTCCTGGACTCTTTCTTTTAAGTTATTACTTCTTTTTTTTTTTTTTTTGAGACAGAGTCTCACTATGTTGCCCATAGTAGAGTGCTGTGGCGTCATAGCTCATAGCAACCTCAAACTCTTGGGCTTAAGTGATTCTCTTGCCTCAGTCTCCCAAGTAGCTGGGACTACAGGCGCCCTCCACAACACCCAGCTGTTTTTTGGTTGTAGTTGTCATTGTTGTTTGGCAGGCCTAGGTTGGATTCGAATCCGCTAGCTCTGATGTATGTGGCTGGCGCCCTAGCAGGCTGAGGCTACAGGCACCAAGCCTAAGTCATTAATTCTTATATACATTTTGTAGCTCTCCAGGGTATGAAGATGACAAAATTATTGACTTTTGAGAGCAATTTTTTTTTTTTTTTTTTAGACAGAGCCTCAAGCTGTCCCCCTGGGTAGAGTGCCGTGGCATTACAGCTCACAGCAACCTCTCCGACTCCTGGGCTCAAGCGAGTCTCCTGCCTCCGCCTCCCAAGTAGCTGAGACCACAGGCGCCCGCCACAACGCCCGGCTATTTTTTGGTTGCAGCCGCCATTGTTGTTTGGCGGGTCCGGGCTGGGGATTCGAACCCGCCACCTTAGGTGTACGTGGCTGGCGCCTTAGCCGGTTGAGCTATAGGCGCCAAGCCTTGAGAGCAAATTTTAATGGGGTAGACAGAAAAGTAAAAACTTACTAAAATGTTACCTGCATGAGAGGTGTGCTCAGCACTCCAGGAAAAGAGGGAGCTGCAGGGGCGGTTGTGTATGATGCGCCAGATTCTGAAGGGTTTACTCAGATGCCAGACTCAACTGTTTGGGCATTATTTTCATCATTATTAGAGGAAGATACTGTGTCAGAGCACTTCTGTGAAGGTTTAGAACAGACTGAGCCTTCCTAGGATTTCCTAGTGGGTCTTAGTATTTGGCACCTCTGTTTTTTCCTGTCCTGGTCCCATAATTATACGTCTCGTTCAGATAAAAGCAAAGTTAAGATGTGGTTGGGAGAGTTGGCTGTGTCTAATGTTTGGAAACACCGTCTCAGAATGCAGTAAACCTTTAACGTTAGGATTTCACAAACGTCAACTAGGTCGTGGAGACCTGAAACGCCTCCCTGATTTGAAGGAGCCCTGTTCACTTTGACAGGGGCAATTGAGTATATTTGAAATCTGAAGAGAAAGAGCAAAAAAACAAATGCTGACTTGAATTTTGCTGCGTTTTTAAAGATGAGTATCTTCAGAGATCTAAACTGTCCCAAATTATTATTTATTTCCAGCCATTTGAGTCTTCAGAAATTGTAAGGAAGTTGAGTATTACAACTTACTCCCCAACAACTGGGACTTGTAAAATGAGCCCATTTGCTTCTCCCACTAAGTCTAAAGAACAAGAGCACAGAAGTCGACCATCAGACGGTGAGTTGAACATTCCTTTCTACTTATTGTAAGATTTTTCTAGTTACTGGTTAAATCAAGATTTTGATTTATTAATATATGATTGATTTTTCTCTTCTCTCAAAGAATTTAACACAGAAAAGTCTAGAATGTAGGTATTATTTTGGATGTAAGTATAAACTTTCTGTCACTTATTTTAAAATGCTACCACTGGCTCGGCGCCTGTGGCTCAAGTGGCTAAGGCGCCAACCACATACACCTAAAGTGGCAGGGTCAAATCCAGCCCCGCCCACAAAACAACAATGACGGCTGCAACCAAAAAATAGCCGGGCGTTGTGGCGGGTGCCTGTGGTCCCAGCTACTTGGGAGGCTGAGGCAGGAGACTCGCTTGAGCCCAGGAGTTGGAGGTTGCTGTGAGCTGTGATGCCACAGCACTCTACCCAGGGGGATAGCTTGAGGCTCTGTCTCAAAAAATAAAAATAAAATAAAATGCTACCACTGACTTCATCCTCTTCTTATCTCATTGATTAAATAAACATTATGGCTTGACTGCCTTTAGCCACTATTGGTTATAATGGTTATAGGTATGTCCCTTAATGAGCTGTCCATCATGTGTATAAATTACAGACAGCATAACTCAGGAACTGCGCCCTGCAGTTTAGGAGTGATAATTCTGAATGTTATTTTTATTCATGTTGTCCTTTAAGTTTTGTCCACGTTTAGTCTGTCTCTGTATAGCTTGCCTTCATTATATTTCATTCCCTTGTTTTTCTTTGTTATATCAAATGTTATATCAAATGTTATATCAAATGTATTCAAAAGGTTTGTAGAATTTTCTATACAGAGCAAACTAATTTTAGTATGAAATTCTTTATTTTAAAATACTATTAGTCTAATTTTGACTATACATATTTGTTTTCTCTGGTCATTTATTACTAAAATATTTATTTAAAACCACAAATCTTGACTTGGCTCCTGTAACTCAGTGAGTAGGGCACCAGCCACATATATGAGGCTGGCGGGTTTAAGCCCGGCCCGGGCCTGCTAAACAACAATGACACTGCAACCAAAAATAGCCCGTCATCATGGCGGGCACCTATAGTCCCAGCTACTCGGGAGGCTGAAGCAAGAGAATTGCTTAAGCCCAAGAGTTTGAGGTTGCTGTGAGCTGTAATCCCATGACACTCTACCCAGGGCAACATAATGAGACTTCATCTCAAAAAATAAGTAAATAAAACCACCAATCTCAGTTTGATAGGCTTTTTTTTTTTTTTTATTGAGCTATGAATCAGTGACATGTCAGATTCTATAGTTGAAAATTTAAGGCTCAGCGCCTGTGGCTCAGGCGGCTAAGACGCCAGCCACATACACCTGAGCTGGCGGGTGCAAATCCAGCCCAGGCCTACGAAACAACGATGGCGGCTGCAACCAAAAAATAGCCAGGCGTTGTGGCAGG